AAAATCTCGTTAATTGGGGTTGATTAATTATCCCGCTGGCGATCGGCGACCTGTCTGTGCGGCAAGTGCCGTAAAACGCTTACTACAGACTAAACGTGGGTGGTTGGCGGGTGCTCGGGTGTGGTTTGCTCCTTCTTTCCTTTTAAACATCTATCGTCTTTATCTCTCCTCCTTTTTATGTTTGTTACTCTCTTGTAACGCCTCTAATCTTCTGGCGCTCATATGACCTTATGCAGTTGCGAGCGCCGTAAAACCTCTACTAAAACAAAACAAAAACCCACCAAAAATGACTAAAATTAAATTAAAAAACAAAAACTAAACAAAAAACAAACAGATTAACAACACGAGCCGTGACGCGTGACAGTAAGGGGTGTGCCGGGTCACAAAGTTACGCCAGGTCTGTGTACTCTGTCAATACACTGTATGTATGTACCTGTGTCCAGATAACTGTGGACCCCGCCGCCTGTTTATTACGCTGATTGTTCCCGACTTTTTGGAACACAGTCGAACCTGGGTGGTTGGTGGGTGCTCTGGTATGCTTTGCGCCTTCTTTCTTATCAAATTAATATCTATCATCCATATTATGCCCCCTCCTTTTTTTGTGTGTATGTTACTCTCTTGTAACACCTGTGATCTTTGGGACTTATTTGACCTTATTGTGTTGCAAGTGCCGGAAAACAACTCTTACTAAAACTAAAAACAAGCAAACAACCGATCTCGTGTGTCTGTCTGTGTGTCCCCAGAAAAGGCGTATGACATAACGTGCGTAAACCTCCGCTTCTGTCATAATCTATGGGTGCTCTGGTGTGGTTTACTTCTTCTTTCCTATCAAACATCTATCGCCCTTATCTCCCCTCCTTCTTTTTTCTGTTTGTTACTCTCTTGTAACACCTCTAATCTTCTGGCGCTCATATGACCTTATGCAGTTGAGAGCGCCGTAACACCTCTACTAAAACAAAAAAACAAACAATCATAACCTATGTCTGTGTGTGTGTGTGTCCCCAGAGAAGGCGTATGACATCACCTAGGTAAACCTCCGCTTGTCTCATAACCTGTGTCTGTCTGTGTGTCCCCAGAGAAGGCGTATGACATCACATACGTAAACCTCCGCTTCTACTCCCCCCGCCCGGAGAGTTTCGCCATCTACAAGAGGTCGACGGAGGATGCGCCATGGGTACCCTACCAGTTCTACAGGTGAGTTGTCTGTGTGTGTGTGTGCGTGTGTGCGCGCGTGTGTGTGTGTGTGCGTGTGTGCGCGCGTGTGTGTGTGTGTGTGTGTGTGTGTGTGTGTGTGTATGTGTGTGTGTGTGTGTGTGTGC